CAGATGTATCTAATCTTTCAAAACCTGATAAGATTCATTAGTCTTCTTCAAATTCTTAAGAGCATTCGATACATCGGTTTATTCCGATTCTTCGGACCTTTACATTCGGATTCTTTTTTGGATTTGGATACTTTTAGTTCTTCAAATTCTTCCAGTTCATCAATTTCATTACACTTTAGATTCCTGACACTCTTTAAAATCTGTTATAACTTCGGATCCTTCTCGTTCTTCAGATAAAATTTGTTCGAATTTTATATTTTTTGAACGTTCTCATACTCTTTCGTTTTTTAGACTTTTTCAGTTTCTTTATATATTCTTCGAATTCTTCAGATAATGATTCGTCAGTTCCCTTTCATTTATTTATTATTTATTAACCCTCTCTTGTTCTGGGACCCCAGCAGGCTTGCTCCCAATTACAGAGTGACACTCGTAGATGCTCTGCAGATCTTTCACTTCTTTCGAATTCTTCCGCTCCTTTAGACTCTTCAATTTTTGAGATTGATAAGATTCAGATTCTTCAGTTTACTCAAATTATTCCGATTCTTTAGATTTTTCAAATTCTTCTTATACAATTTTTGAAATGGCCAAGATCTTGCAATTCAAATTCTTCTATTGGTTCAAATCCTCCAAATTCTTCAAAGCCTAAAGTATGCGGAGCAGTCAGAAGGGCCGATTCCTGCAAAAGGTGGTGTACACGATTTTATCGTTTTAAATGGTCCATTTGGGTCCAAATAACATGTATTTGAAGAGTGCACACAAATTTTTTCCCGGCACAACTTTTGGCAGCGAAAAAACCTCAAAATGTTCGGACTATTTTCAGTTTTTCGCTTAAAACTCGAAAACGGTCCATATTTTATGAATAACACTTCTTCAGTACATTAAAGAAAACAAAATTCTGCGTCGATTAAAAAACAAAAAAAATCGATCCAATAGAAAAATTTTTACAACGATCAAAAAACGCCCATTTTTTCCAACTTTTCTAAAAAGCTGAGTTAACCTTTTTTTAATGCGTTGTGGCTCCTAAAGGAACGATAAAATCCACTACCTCCCCTCCCTAAAGATTGCACAACATCAATCAGAGAGTTCAAAAGGTACCAACAATTTAAAATTGGACCAATTTTTGAAATTGGTTGGAAAAAATGGGCACAGGGTACTCTTTTGAATAATCAGAAGGTCCTGCCACGTTTAGATCCATGATGGTGGTAGCGTAGAACTTGTAGTTGATAGTGATAAATTCGCGTTATTAATTATTGCTTCCCTTCGTACGGAGGCGATATAAAATTTTAATGATACGCGAACATTTAAAAGGGTGATACTTTATTGTGTAGTATTAGATAACTGATAAAATACCTAAAAGTACAATTCATAATAATAAAAGGCACTTCAGAAAGCCCATCATACATATCAGTATAATATGGATCTATTAAACGCACAACAATCTAGGCTAGGAACTAAAATCTAGTGATATTTTCAGTGTGAATCAAACTTTCATGTTTTTAGTACTCCTTTATTCCGTGCGAATCCACAATCCATAGGTCGCTGGTTCATATCCGGCTCGAAGGATCATATATTATGTTGTTCTCTTCCTGTTTTTCAAAATAAAATACATTTAATTTCGCATAAATTTAATAATAATAACATGTCTGAACTGATGGCTCGCTACAAAGATAATGGTAATCGCGCCCAAATGCACGAAAGCGCTGGTCTAGCATTGTACGCCATCTACCAACAATCACATAAAGTGACAATTTATATTTACAAAAATAATAAATGTTGCTTTTTGCGTATATTATTGTAGTACAAAATTTATATTTCAATGTTATATGATTTCAAAATGAGAAAGAGATCCATAAAGACAGCCCTTGGAATAAATGTCAACAAGGGAATAGAAACGACAAGCGTATTTTGTTACCTAAAGATTTGTACGTAAGATTTTTAATCTCTTGCGAGGAGCTTAGGAAACAGAAAACTGCTGAACGTTATCGGAACGAGAATTTTAAGCTTTCCGTTTGAACGTTTCTATAATTTCAACTTAAAAAGCGTTTGTGTGAAATGTGTTGCTTTCTTGGTAATTTAGAAATCTAGAAAAATACGATTATTTGACATCGAATTGTGCCCGCCTTAGTTTAACTCAGGGTTTAACATGATGGCGGGATCGTTTTGTTTTTAGTTGCCATGGTTTTCAGACCAAACATGCCCGATATCACAGATATCAGACATTTAGGTATACTTAAAAGCGCCCTCTATTGTGCCGCGGTATAAACATAGCACCAATAACAATACAATAAAAAGCGATTTTTTGAGTTGTGACTTGATTCGCCATGACAAAGTAACAGACGCGTTGGAAGACTTTGGGTGATAATAGAAGGGAGACCCCCCACCGCCTCCATTGGTGCGGCCCCTTATCCCCCCTCTCGGTTTGCGGGTCACAGCCTTGGGATTTCCCCAGGTCGTAGTCTTGGGCATTGACGTTCCCAAGGGCATGTAACGTCGCCATTGATTTCCCAAGGTTTTGGTCTTGTACCTTGGTCCCAGGTCATGGCCTGGATGCTGGACCAAGGTCGTGGGCTTGGATTCTCACCCAAAGTAATTGTCTTGAGTCTTGCACTTTGACCCCAAACCATGGCCCTGGATTCTGGACCAAGGTCGTGCCCTTGAGATTTACCCGGATATGTCACAAGGTCGTGTCCTTTATGATCTCCATCATTTGATTTTCCAATGTTAACTTGTTTTCGAATGCGAAATCAGCTCCCTCCTACAGTTATGCGATTATAATGATAACTGTGCATCTCTTTCGTGTGTGCATAATGTGTGTGTTAATTTGAAAAGATAAGGATTTTCAAGATAACGTTATATGTAAGTCAGTTCTCCCATCTTATTTACTTATGGAAAGCTTTGCTTTTGCTTTGTTCGCACTCATCTCATAGATTACAATAAAAATAGTGCACCATAAAACAAAATCACGCCTTAGTTACGGTACCAAGGCCACGACCTTGAACAGCAAACCAGGTTCCTCCTTAGCTATGCAATCGGGGAAATCACCATGATCCAGAATCTAGGGCCACGACTTTGGATCAAAGTGAAAGACTCATTACCTTTCCTCAGAATCCAAGGCCACGTCCTTGCTCCAGCACCCAAAGTCATGACCTTGAACGAAAGTCTCTCTTCTACTGGTGATGAATGTTATATCGTCTTATCTTCATAATGGAAATTAGGTAGATGAATATCAGGGTGTCCAATCAGATACGTATCTGGCAAGTAACGGCGTGCCGCAAGGATCGAACGTTGGTCCGTTGTTTTTGATCATTTCTAACTCAGTGTGTGAGGTGCTATGTAACCGTTTTCTTTTGTGTGCGGACGATTTAAAGATATGTAGCGCTATAGATGATTGTGAACCTTCGCAGTGACCATAATGGGTTAATTAATAACCAATGACCTACACTTAAACATTAAGAAATGCTTTATAATCGGCAATCACTTTCTATCCAACAACCCGAATGACTGGAAGCACACTATTTGCTGTGGCCTTTGCACGCAAAGTACAACAAAAACACCAATAAACCATATACAGTGTGTAAAGCGATGGGGTATACAAGAGGAAATTTTTTTTAAAATATGACTTATGAAAAAAATTTATTCTTCATGATATGATATTTTTTGCTTGCTTTGAAAGTACCAATAACGTTTCGATAACTAAAATTTATTTATAGAAATCTGGAAAAATAATAAAATTAATTTTTTTTATTGAAAGTTATCATTCTACATTATAATTAAGATGGCGTATTGCTATCAAACCACACACAATCGAAACGTTATTGGTACTTTCAAATGAAGCAAAAAATATCATATCATGAAGAATAAATTTTTTTCATAAATCAATATTTTAAAAAAATGCCCTCTTGTATACCCCATCGCTTTACACGCTGTACATATATTAAAATATCTAACGCGTTTCAAAAGCAACGCTGGGTATCATCAGCGAATAACTGAAAGATAAACTACAAATACGATCCTGTTTATACTAATTGCAAGTGAAAGTGTACAAGCTGATTGGCCTAAAGGCCCTAAAGGAATTCCGATTTTAATTCTGGGCGTTGATCTCGTATCGACTAATCGGCTGTAATTAAATAATTACTTACGACAGTGAATAGGTACACTCTGGACTAGAAGGCAGGGAATAGAAGGGCCTTTAAGTTATCTTATGTCACAGGGGTGTATCCCGGATCTGGTTTTCCGCGAAAAGTAATGTTCTGGTGCCCAATGGTTTCCAAATATAAGGTCAGCTAGGACTACCCTGGCATACACTCTTAAAATGATTCTTCGGATAGATTCAAACAACCCCGTTTTAGGGAACCAGTTGAATCTCGGACCACGGAGAACGGTGACAATTGTGTTTACGCAAGGTTGACTGACCTAAGTACAAACCCAAGAGACCAATGAAGTACTATTTGACGTCCGCAGGTTTTATTTTACCTACCAGGATTGAGGTTATGGATAGCATAGACGAGTATGGTGGGCAACCCAACACTAAATATAGGTCTAATTAGTTCTTGTCTGGGAACATAGGCAAAGGAATAAGTCTCGTAGGTCAGAAATAATTTTCTACTACTACTTTAGAATCGCTTCATACTTGCCATACTTTTAACAACAGAATGTCGCCTATTCTGTTATACTGAAGTGGAATAATGTCATTCTAACTCTTGTGATGGAATGAGCACATGTGGCGACATCTATTAATGATATCCAAATCACAATTCATAAACTGTCAAAATTTTAATTAAACTTACGCCAGTTATTTTGAATTTTAAATGCCTGTAGCGCAAATTAGCAGCAGTGGTGGTCCAATGTAATTTTCAAATACTCCCCCGGAAATCACCGCGGCAGCAGAAAATGCATAAACATTATTACTTTCTCGGAAAATCAAAAGCAGTGTAGGGACAAATCTTTGGAGCGGGGGATTTAGAAAAAAACACACTTATTTTCAGAGAACTAGTGTTTGTTTATATTATCACAGGCAATTAAAGCATCTACAACATTGTGCAAAACGTATCCCATGTTACGATCTAAATTACTTTTGAACAATAATGTCGACATAAGCAGCTACGCTAAGTTGCAGGCCCTTTTAAAAAATCAATCCAATCTCATCAGATCCCGAAACACTTAGCGTTTTGTTCACAAGTCTTATCTTGAGGTCCACTCACAACAGCTTAAGCCACGTGTTTATCTTGAGGTCCATTCCTAAGAGCATAAGCCACGAGTAGCTACACCTACAAGCATATGGCTACAATGAATTAATATACCTCACAGCACTATACGAAAAGAACATCCAAACAGGTAACAGTAAGTTGTTGGTGATCCAGGACCAGAACAGATTTCCTCAGTAGGTATTACCTTGGGGAGCGTGAAAACTAACCTAAAAAGTAAAATGTAATGCCAATTAAAATGTTACGCTTGTCTATACTTACATACAAATGGGAGTAGTGTTAACATGTGCACATTTACCAAATGTCTACTTTAACCGTAACAAATATATGTACATTTTCGATTACTAAACACGTCTGTGCTAAACGCAAATAATACGAACAAACCTTTTACATTTCTTTCGCATGTGCGGTATCGTTCGTTCTGGGTCATTTAGACAAATGAGAGTCGCTCAAATGCCACAGGGATTTGTTATACCTACCCACCGCACACAGAACTATTTGTGGATTGTCTACCACTAACTCTGGTCGGAATTTTACATATTTCGCAACAATTCGTTGTAGTAGTAGAAAAAATTATGTCTATGACTTGTAAGGAATAGGTATTCAACGCTCGTGAAACCGTCACACTCGCCTTCGGCTCGTGTGACGAACTTTTCACTCGCGCGGAATACACCTTATTCCATACTCGTTATAGAATATACTATTAAAAGTCTCATCAAACCATCTCCCCCCAACTTTCCATGCACACCGATCCGTTTTTTTACTGTTGGAAAACAGCAATGTCGATACCCGCAACGAACGGAGTCGTATTAATAACAAACACGGACAAATGTAAGCTAAAAGCTAATAACTTTCCTTTAAGAAGGCGCTAAAAAGGTAGTTTATCCTTCAAGAGTGCTTATGAGATCAAACTCTATAAAGATAGATAGGAAGTTAAATATTAATTCATGTGGGAAAATTAAGTAATAAAGAGTATAATTTTCGCATTTTACATTTAAATAAAGAATAATAAATGAGTGTTCACGGCACGTTCCTCCGTGCCTATTAATTATGTCATTATTTAAAACGTGAAAATAACTTTCATCCTTCAAATTTACGCGAATAGCAATTTAGCAAACGGTGGCAGTGGTTGGTGGTTCCCTCATGAATAAGCAACTACCTATACCTCGGGGATAATAAATTATGTCCTTTGATAAATGATAAAATATTCATTTTAACCACGAAGCCTTATTATACCTTTCAATCCCGGTACCGAAAATGTAGGTACGTGTTCTTCCTTATCGAAGGGCGAAGACTATATGCATACACGCGTCACTCTAATAAGTCCAATCAACACGTCAGATGTCAAGTTTATTACTAAGAATCATCGTAAATAATTATTTTAATGGACGCACCGAGACGACTATAACCGCCAATTAATACGCGTTTAACATGCCTTTTTAAGTAATCACTACCTATTAAAGTAGAATACAATAAGAAATAAATTTGAATACAGCAACCAAATGAGTGATGCAGAACAATACAATTCGAATATCCGGTTTATAGTATGTAATCCATACATTTGTGATTATTACACGATGTAGGTATTAATGGCGATATTTTGAGGCAAAACTAAAGAAATGGCAGCAGGTGAAGAAACGACGGGGATGTAGTATTAGAGCTACCGGTAGGAATAGCGATGGAGGATGATAAGTAAAATATTAAAAGTTGCCCGATACAAATTTCGCTTTTTGAATTTCAATCAGGATTACTAACAGAAATGTAAAAAGATGTAAATAGAGAATATATCACACTTGTCTGTTTAAAATGCATCAGGATTAGAGACACAAGAAAGTACACACAAACGATAAACGAATTATGTTATCCTGATATAAATAGTTATCAGGACAGCAGAAACACAAGAGGTAAATTCCTCTCTCTTTCTCTCTCATAATGGAATGGCTTTTTTTAAATTTGGCACGGAATGTTCTTCTTGATCCAAATGTCTCATGCATTATGCTCTCTCGATACAACAATCTTATTCTATTAGGAGCACTGAAATGGATGAAGATATAAACAGGAAATAATTAATACACGGCACCTTCACGAATACTACTTGCACGGTACAAACTTTAACTGTTGTATCAGGATCGCAAAGCCCCAGAAATGTCCACTCTCCTTAACATCCATACCTTCGCGTACTTCTAATCTAACCCAAATTTATCCTTTGAGCAATTGTATTACCTACGTTCTCGCGATAAAATGTGTTTCTTAAAAATTGTTTCTGTTAAAAATATATCATTGGCGTACGACAAACGGTTTCTCATGTATAATGTACTCATTACTCCTGATACAAAATACAAATTTCATTTTTGAAAACTGTTGTATTCGAATCACAGATATGTAAGAGGCTAAACGCGTACATACGCATTCTCGTATTCCTATAATCAAAATTTCTCTCCTGTTCAGAAAGTTACAAACAAGAGTACAGTAGTCCTTATTGTTAACAATTTCCCTTTTACATAAAATAACAACCGAAATTCCGACATGAATTTAAGGAATATAGCAATCTGCCTGTTTTCAGTTTAGTTTCTAAAACAAAATATATATGTCTCAGTTGAAATCCGATTAATTCGTTTCCCATTTACTTCTTCGATTCTTAGATGTTCTGAGTTTCCGTAGCTGATTAGGTACTACTCCTGTAAAAGACACAAAGCGGTGCTCATTAGGTTAATGTGCATCTGCCTTTATAGTAATCCCTTTCAGAAAGGGCCGAAGCTATGTTGTCCCGAGACAGGAAATGGAGAATCTTTTTGTATTTCAAAAGAACAACGAACCCCAGAATAAATTTATAGAATACTTCTTATAATGAGTTTTATGCTCATCATTAGCTTGTGACTGTACACACAAGCTGATGTACACATTTTTAAGAGCTGGCAACCATGCGACTTGTTAGAAAGGGAAAGCTGTCAACTTTTATTGTCTTGAAATCGTTTTCATTTTTGGTGTAAATGTTTGCTCAATTTGTGGTTATGTTTTGATTACATGATCATGACCCGCAGTTATATGTATTTATAAATTTTAATCATCCATTTAAATATCGAATTTTGAGGAATTCTCTCCATTTTCGTCGTCCCGCCAAAAATTGCAGTGGATTTTTTTTTTGAATTTTCAAAACATAATTTCAGACTCGTGATTTTCATGTTCAAAAAATTCCCAGATACCAAATTTCTTCGAAATCAGAATTTTTTTGTAGGGCCATTTAGGGGTAGGTATTTTGAAAATATTTTTGCAAAATCGGAAAGGGCATACCCGAAAACCTATTCAAAGTGTTGCTCAAACTATTTCTTACACGTCTTTGAATAGGTTTTCGGGTATGCTCTTTCCGATTTTGCAAAAAAAATTTCAAAACTCAAAAAAAAAAGTTAGAACCCTTATGGTTGCTGAGAAAAAATTGAAAGAAGAAATGCAAATTTCACCACTTTTTTGGGGGTGGCTTCAAACAAAACACGTTGGATCTCGGTTTATTTGGAAAAAGTGCATCTTTTGATCCTCTCTACCGCCCAATTATTTTTACATACTTATATGTAACAACCGTATACTACAATTTCCATTCCTCAAGAATCTGATACTCCCAGAGCGGTGTCGAACCTGTATCGTCACGAAGCGATCTGTTTTCTATATTTCTGAGTTGAAACTGCATTTTCCAAGGATAATATTAACCGTAACCTGAAGAAAATTCCCGAGACATCAATAACTGTGAGTTACTTTAAATTGTTGACTTGTATAAAGTATTGCTCGATTATTTTTAGGAATTTGTATAAAAATTGTATTTAACGTTAATAATATTCCTAAAGGAACCGACCTGCGAGAATAAATAGCATGAAACAGATTTATATCGCATTTTGATAATCGAATTCAAACAAAGGACTTTGTTTATTTTTTTCATTAGTTGGGAATTTGCATTTATTTTCAGTGATCCCATACCTTTGGTTGGATTAAAATTTTGTTAGTCATCAAAGGTGTGTGAATATTTTAAATAAGGAATTTATTATGTATAAAAAATGATGGTTTAGATAAGGATCAAAACTAGCATTGATACGAAATCACGAGATAGGATTTGAATTTTATGTATCTGTGAAGAAAAATGTAATAGGATCGCCTTTATTTTTCTTAATAATATATTCAATTAATTTATTTTACATGCGTATTTATTCCAGTTTAATTAAAGCAGACCATCAGGTTTTGATTTTCAGATTTAAAGAAGAGATAAAAGGCCAAATCTTCCGCAAGGTATGGGGTGCTTTAAATGTTTTATTACAGAGCTAGCCGTGTGTAAAAGAAAATTAATTGTTAGAGTCAAATTTTAGTCAGCGCCGTGGAGATTCAATTTTATTCAATGTAAATAAGGTTTCAACCCTAAATGTACCTAACTAACTCGTTACACGGTTCCATAAACATAAGAGACAATATTGAAACGGTAAAGTTTGGATAAAGTCTGAAGAATCTACAGTGCTGGAAGAAGAAGATAATCAAGAGACGCCTTAACAGCAAAATAAGGAGTAGCTCACCTGAAAGAAAAAATACAAAATTTAAAAAATATAACACATTTTTCAGATTTCCCCGAACAAATCTCATTTTAATTAATTAAAGTTTGATGATCTTCAAAGTCGAGGGACAATTTATGGCATTACGTTAAATGCGAACAATAGTGGAAGTTTTTAAACATGCGAAATTAAACTCTTCGCTTTGATCAATTGAAGAGTAGGGGAGCACTCTTAAAGAACTAATGTTTTAAAAATTCGAAAATTCTGATTAGTTCCGAAGATATTCGAAAAAAACCGAAATGAAGTATATTCGTTTTTATTTTGTCCTGGCCCTATTTGAAAAGATATCAAAAAACAAATAACACTTTCTTGTAGGAGTTTTTTAAACTCTACAAGATGGTGCCCACAGAATTCACTTTGAGTTCGACGTTTTGTTTTTGAAAACCAACAACTTCATATTTTTATATGGACCGGAAAAAAGTACACATTGCACATATCGATAAAAAATTACAGGGAAGTGTCCTCTAGCGCAATGAAGTTCTGATTCCAGTTCTGGTAGTTTAGTTCTGAAGCTTTGAAACTTTCCTCAAACGAATTGTGGTAAACTTTATTTACAATAAAAAATGGCTACATTATTACAAGGGCTGTATATGAAGGCTGAATTTAATCTTTTTTAAACATATCAAATATTTTGACAGGTGTTGGATGGCCTTTCAAAGGCACTGAAACTTTTCATGACATTTTGGATTTAAACCCAAAGTATAAAAACGGTTTACATTTCATATTTCCGTGTCATCTGTGATGGATCTTTAATTTGGATGTTACCACAAAACGGCATGGAATTGCATTGTTGTTCGTTTTAATTTTGTATTCATGCCACAACGTCAGACTAGCAAAGGGGTGGATTAATAGGACAGCTCATATTTTACTCGGCCCATTAGAATTTTAATTCCAAATGAGATGAGCGTGAGACTTGCCCCTTATATTTTTTAACTGTCAGTTGTGGAGCATATGTTTTTGAGCCATATACACGAGGTACCTAATGAGTAGAAAAATTTAATTACCCGTAAAGTCTAAATGGTAATGGAATGTGCGTTATAAGTCGTAATCGAGGCGAAAACGACTAAATTCTAATCTACCAATCACAAACTTTAGTTCGCATTAAGCTATGAA